CAGAACAGATACCATATGAATACCAATGGCAAAGCTAATCAAAACTGAATCTTCTGTAGGTAAAGAGTATACTTTTAACTGTGTCCTCCCTTAAATAATTACCAATTCAAAGTATAACTGCATATTTCATGTAAAGACCCTCCGAATGTATCGTATTAAACCTGTTTCTTAGAGGTAAGTTCCAAGAATGTAAAGAGGAGAAGCTAATTAATTACCGGAGCTACAATCTTAGTTCCATTTAAATCCTTGGATTTAAAGGCAGAGGGGGAAAAAAAGAAAGGAAGATTAGCTCAGTTATGGCGAACCTTATTTGGCTCGCGTGCCAAAAGCAGGGGGAGTGCAGGTGGGTCGTGCGCAGGTGTGCCACACCCATAATGCTATGCACATGACCCCAGCACGCATGCGCTCATGACCAGTGCTTCCCCCTGTTTTTGGCGTGCTTTTTTCACCCTCCCCAGGCTCCGGAGGCTCTATAGGAGCCTGGGGAGGGCAGAAACAGCCCCCCCGCCCCCCAGAGGCCCTCTGGAGGCTTCAGGAGCTTCCCTGAAGGCTCTGGAGTGCGAAAAACCAGTGCTATGGGCAAACCGGACTTCCGGTTTCCTCATAGGGCCAGTTTTAGCCCTCCGGACCCTTCAGGGGCCTCCAGGAGGCTTCCCTGAAACTCTGGAGGGCAAAAAAATGAACCTACGAGCAAACCGGAAGTGATCAGTTTTTCATCCTTCGGAACCTTCAGTCCGTTCCTGAATTTCCGGTTTGCCTATAGGGACGGTTTTTCACCCTCCGGAGGTTTCCTTGAAGCTTCCAGAGGGTGAAAAATGGCCTCAAAAGCAGGGCAAAGTCATCTGGCCAGCGCGCCCATGATCACTGGCCAGCTGACAGGGCAAGGCCTCGTGTGCCCTGACAAATGGCTCCGCATGCCACCTGTGGCACATGTGCCATAGGTTCGCCATCACGGGATTAGATATATTGGTTTCAAGACAGTGCAGCTCAGGTGTTTGCTTTGTATTTAAACTCTTGTTTAGAGAGTATGTAGGATGCGGTGGCTCAGTGGCTAAGACCCTGAGCTTGTCGATCAGAAAGGTTGGCAGTTCAGTGGTTCAAATCCTAGTGCCGTGTACTTGTTCCAGTGTCTGCCAACCTAGCAGTTCAAAAGCATGTAAAAATGCAAGTAGAAAAAATAGGAACCACTTTTGGTGGGACGTTAACAGTGTTCTGTGCGCCTTCAGCGTTTAATCATGCCAGTCACATGACCACAGAGACATCTTTGGATAGTCCTGGTTCTTCAGCTTTGAAACAAAGATGACCACTGCCCCCTAGAGTCAGGAACGGCCAGCTCATATGTGCAAGAGGAACCTTTATCTTTTAGAGAGTGTATCACTATTCTCTCTCTCCCCCACCCCAGGTTTTTAAAATTATTTTTTTTACCTTATGGTCTGCTCTAAATAATAGTTCCCAACAGTCCAATCAATGCACTCTGCTTCAAACCACTAAGCTTGGTAATCTAATGCCAAAACTGGATACAATTTCTGATTAGAAAATCAACATTTCCCCCCGAGAGACTTTATGTAGCTTTTGGGGTACTTGCCGTTGACATGTACACAAATAGATAAAAAACATTAAATTTTATTGTAATGCTTCTTCATTTGGTATATATTTCCATATTTTTACTGGTATGATAAATTCATGTCTACTCAACACACTTAAATCAGTTTCAAAGTGTATCATTGGATTATGAAAACTATACTAAAATCTAATAGAGAATTCTCAGCATGCTAATAAAATCAATAAATAAACCATTGTACCAGTAGTTAAGCCAATTGCAACCACTTTAAAGTTGTGGATACAGGCCTGGAATATTGTGTGAAGCTCTTTTGTGAATTATCTTTTTTTCATTGTTCATTCTAGTTTTATGATTTCTGGGCTTTTTCATCAATTGATGATTTCTGTCTGTCTTATATTTGAATAGGGGAGGCCAAGTGAATGTTAAAGGATTTAGAAAAAATAATTAGGAACCTATAAATAATCAGGATCCTTTGGTTATTTGATTTATAGATTATCATACTACTATGACAATGTAATTTTAGAATTATTTTCAATGTTAGAGATGGGAAATAAGAAAGGCTTCTAAATTGTTTCCTGCAGGGCAACAGCAATTCTGAGACACAGATTTAAAAATAGCAGAAGTGTTAAAAAAATTCCTATGATTAAAGTTGGAGACCTTACTTTTAAACAACTAAATTTTAAACAACTAAAAAAACTTTGAATGTTTGGATCCTTCTCTTTTGTATCCAAAAGTCTAGTTATAAATTAAGGCTACTCTGTTTAACCTACTAAAGTCCAGATAACCACCAGATGTTTGTATCCCCCTTCCCTTGTTTGAGTTGTGAGCCGCCCTGAGTCCCCTTAGGGAAAAGGGCGGCATACAAATGAAATAAAACTCTAAACTCTAAACNGGTTCTACCGAATAGGTACGAACTGGTAGGAACCCACCTCTGCCAAAGACCCACTGAAGGTGCCTTGCTTTTTCCATGAAACTCAATGCCTCCTAGTTGTTGTGACAAAGGCAGTAAAGGAAGCTTTCAGCTGGAAGTTGCATCTCTGCTGTTCAGGCAGAATCTCCTCACCGGCATGTATGTTTCCATCCACTCCTCCTTCTTTCAAAGTTTATAAAAGTGAGGGGTACAACAAGCTTAACCTCCAGCTTTAACACAAGCTGGTGTGGTGTGTGTGTGTGCGCGTGCACATCCTCAGTGTTGACTCCTGGCAGCTGTCTGAATTAATCCCTGCAATTTTCTTAGCAAGATTTCAGAAGTGGTTTGCCTTACTTGCTTCCTAGGGGTTGAAGGAGAATGACTAGCTCAAGGTCACCTACCCAGCTGGCTTTGTGTCTCAGGCCAAAGTAAAACTCAGAATCGCCCCGTTTTTAACCCAGTGCCTTTACCACTATACCAAACTTACTCTCACATTTTGGGACAAGAGTTAACTAATAGGAGTTAACTAATAAGGGTATACTGACACACCTTTGTCTTTCTTTAGCAGTTGACAACTTTGTCGTTCTGGTTCTGCCCTGGAAGCCTTATCCTCTGCCTGGGAACATATAATGTAAATTTCTTTTCTCGTCAACCCAACAGTCCCTGGGTTAAGAATGAGTTCTGATCCGAAGTCTGTCTTTAACTCAGATTTGTATGTAAGTGGGAACTCATACTTACCAGCAAGTTACCTATTACTCCTCCCTTCAATGTGGTTCCCTCAATGAACCATGCATTGTGTTTTCATGAGCCACTGTATTTAAAAAACATGCAGCTTTAGCAGTTCCTAAAAACTATGAGAAGCTTCAGTAGTTTGTCGGCTCAAGGAAGGAGGAAACTTTGTACCATTTTTAGCAATAAGCTAAAGTTGTTTTTAAGTATGGATTGTAAGTCGGGACTTCTTAACCTGGGGACTGTCTATATTGCATTCTATTTCTTGTCCTTTTATAACACAGTGAATCAAATCGAGGTTTTGATATATAATGTAGCTATCCTTCCCTTGATGTCTCCAGGATACCAAGGTCTATCATACTGGGGCAAAGTTCAGAAAGTTTCACTCAGAATTGTACATTGTGATGTTTTGTTGTACGAAGCAAAGAGGATGATGTGGACAGAAGCTCTAGATGAAGCGGTAGCTGAATCTTATTATTCCACATTGCCATCAGGAAGAAGATGAGCTCTGGGATAATGGCCAGGCCTCAGAAGGAAAAGAGAGGCTTTTGTCTAAAGCCCTTCATGGTATTGGACCTGGGTACTTGAGAGACCACCTGCTGCCAATTACCTCCCAAAGACCCATTAGATCACACAGGGCTGGCCTCCTCCGGGTTCCGTCTACCAGCCAATGTCATCTGGCTACTACCCGGGGGAGGGCCTTCTCTGTGGCGGCTCCGGCCCTTTGGAACGAACTCCCCGCAGAGATTCGGACCCTCACCTCTCTCCAGGCCTTCCGAAAAGCCGTTAAAACCTGGCTGTGTCGGCAGGCCTGGGGTTGATGAGTTCCCTTCCCCTCTTGAATCGTGTGGCTGTTGGTTGTTTTTTAAATGCCCTGTACTTTTGTAGTTTTTGTGTTTCCCTTTCCCCCTTGGGTTTGTGCGCCGCCCTGAGTCCCGCTGGGAATATGGCGGCATATAAATAAAATGAAACCTTTAAACCTTTAAACCTTTAAACCTTTGTTGTTGCACTTCAGGATTTCTAATAGTGGCTTAAGATTTCCTAGTGGTTAGGCTACCCAGTTTCGTATTTATTGTGAAGGCAGAGCTGTTAAAAACAATCTGTCAGGGAAGTTGCATTGTGAAATGAGACTGATGCTGAAGCTTATAATTGATGTTGTCCTTATAATTCAGTATCTTCACATTCTCTTATCATTATGCTATGTCTGTTCTTCTTGGTTCAGTGTCTTTGAGTCCTCTTATTTCTCTTTAGGATAATTATGTTAAATTAAACAGGTGCCTTGTTCCACACTTCATTGACAGCGTGACCCGTCTAAACCACGCTTGACTAAGCCGCACCCGATTAAACTGCGTTGCTGACGTCATCAACAGGGCGACAACAGCCAGCGCGGAGAAAGAAGGGTGCTTTAAATAACGCTTTGAAAGCAAGCCGATTCAACTTAAGGTAAGGGTTAGCTTTAGGGTTAGCTTTAGGTTTAGGGTTAGTTTAAGGGTTAGGGTTAGGGTTAGGGTTAGGTTAAGGGTTAGGGTTAGGGTTAGGGTTAGGGTTAGGTTTAGGGTTAGGTTTAGGGTTAAGATTAGGATTAGGTTTAGGGGGGTTAGGTTTAGGTTTAGGGGTTAATTTTAGGTTTAGGGTTTACAGCGTGCTTCTGTCTCCATGCTGTTGTCGCCCTGTTGATGACGTCAGCTACGCGGTTTAGTCGGACGCGGTTTAGTTGAGCGCGGTTTTGTGGTGGAACCCATTGACAGAGCCCATTTTATATTTCTCCCCTTCCTTCCTTCCTTTCTTTCTTGCAGGCACTTGCCTTCTCTTTCAGACTTCTCTGCCATTATGGGGAGCAAGACCTTGCCTGCCCCAGTACCCATCCACCCTTCCCTGCAGCTGACCAATTACTCCTTTCTGCAAGCCTTCAATGGCCTCCCGGCTGTGCCTTCAGACCACCTGCCCAATCTCTACGGTTTCAGTGCCCTCCATGCTGTTCACCTTCACCAATGGACTTTGGGCTACCCTGCCATGCATCTGCCCCGCTCGTCTTTCTCCAAAGTGCCTGGTGTGGCTAGCTTAGTGGACGCCAGATTCCAGTTGCCTGCTTTCCCGTTGTTCCCACACGTCATCCATCCCAAGCACGAAGCCGCAAACGTGCCGCTCAAGGCCAAGCCTAGATTTGATTTTGCAAACCTTGCTGTGGCTGCCACCCAAGAAGATCACTCAAAACTCGGACAGATCGACAACCAAGGCTCTTCTGCAGGCTTGGGCCCATTGCTTGAAGTGACCAAACTTTCCCCCGAGAAGAAACCCACCCGTGGGAGGCTACCCTCCAAAACCAAGAAGGAGTTTGTGTGCAAATTCTGTGGCAGACACTTCACCAAGTCCTACAACCTTTTGATTCATGAAAGAACCCATACAGACGAGCGGCCATACACATGCGACATTTGTCACAAGGCTTTCAGAAGGCAAGATCACCTGAGAGATCACAGGTAACTGAATATGTTTATTTAACGAAACTCGGGTTTATTATAAAGGATTTTAGGGTGCATTGTTCAGAAAAAAGTTATCATAATACTGCTTGTTTGGGTTGTATTGGAAATATAAATCACACTGCCATGAATATATCCATTTAAGTGATGGATATCCATTTTTTTTTGCAGATAATGTTATACTGATACTATAGGACTTGAACATTTGCAACAATTCTTCGTTTAAAAAGGTTTTATTTCTTAAAAAAAAACACAAATATTTCATCATTCGTCAATCATTAAAACATTGAAGTACAATTTTTTTT